TGGGGGCCATACCTATTCAAACCAACACATTTATCATTCCATAAAATTAGAAAATATGAAAGCAAAAAATCTATTTTCATCTACCTAAATAAATTTTGGGTAAAGAGAAAACAGGTATAAATGGCAAAATTCAGAACAAAGTTTGCATTATATGGCCGAAGTAACAGGCAGAAATAGTTCTAGATCTTGCTTCCAATATTAATGTAAGCCGGGCAGTGGTGGCGCACGCCTTTAATCCCAGCACTCGGGAGGCAGAGCCAGGCGGATCTCTGTGAGTTTGAGGCCAGCCTGGGCTACCAAGTGAGTCCCAGGAAAGGCGCAAAGCTACACAGAGAAACCCTGTCTCGAAAAACCAAAGAAAAAAAAATATTAATGTAAGCTTTAAAAATAAATTTAGGCTAGCTGTGGTGGTGCAAGCCTTTGATTCCAGCATTTGGGAGGCAGAAGCAGGCAGATCTCTGAGTTCAAGGACAGCCTGGTCTATAGAGAGAGTTCCAGGGCATCGAGGGCTACACAGAGAAATCCTGTCTTGAAAAATCAAAATTAATTAATTAATTAAACAAATAAGTTTATTTTAATAATAAAATATTATTCTTAAGTAAAAATTAAAGTTCAAACTAAGAAACATCTCATTTCATTACTTTCTTTCCATCTTACCCCTTTTATCTTTTTGTTTATCCCTTTTGCACAACTAAGAAATCAAAAACATTATTTTTCACTCTGTTTTGTACAAAATCTTGCACATCAGGTGCTTTCCCATTAACTAAGACATTCATGCTACAGAATTCACTGGTTTCCATTAAAAATTACTATTGTTATCAGGAATGTGTTTTGAGCTTGTCAATTTTTTATCAGTATCTATGCAATGATGATTTCATCCTTAGAGCTTATCATATGTTATTAAATTATTAAAAATAAAAATTTATCCAGATTTTTGGCTGATTTCCTCATCCCAATTCATAAACAATTGTAAATTTTTCAAAACATCACTTACAGACTTAGAGTCTTTCCATCCAGATATAATTGCATGTAGTTCTCCTTGCTATTATTTATGTAATGTGTTTTAGAGATTCAGGAATACACTAAACAGACCGTTGTCTAAATTTATTTTTATAGGATATATTTTTTTTTCTAAGATAGGGTTTCTCTGTGTAGTCATGGCCATCCTGGAACTCATTATAGCTTCAAACTTGGAGATCCTTCTGCCTCTGCTTTCCTAGTGCTGGATTAAAGGTGTATGCCACTGCCACCTGGCTCATAGAAGAGATTTTTCATGAATTAATTTGTTTCTTTTATTCTTTGAACTTCGTGCTTAACTTGAAATATTTACTTCTTCACCATTGTTTTCAAATAACTATAAATATTCAGATGCCAAGTAAAAGTATCTAAAAATTTGTTCCTTTCCATATCTGCCACCTCAGTATGATGATAAACAACTTTCAATGAAGGGATGAACTATTTCTGGTGTTGTCGGAGGTGACTCTAAGTAGCCCCTGTGATTATTTCAGCCTCAATCATCTCTCTGGTCTTTAAGTTTATGAAAACTACTTAGAGAAAGATTTAGCTGCCACTAACCACCCATCTGTAATCCCATCTATTTATGAGCAGAGGTAGATGTTCAAGGCCAGACTGGAACATACAAAGGACTGAAGGCATGACAAGGTCAATTTAGTGAAACCTTGTTTCAGAATATAACATTTTATAAAATGGAGAAGCAATGTAGCTCAGTGGAAGAGCACTTGCTTAGTAGGAGGCCCTGAATTTAATCCTTAGCACAGAAAAATTACTGCTACAAACTTTTATTTTAAGTGTTTGAGTGTTTGGCTGCATGAAAATTTGTGCACTATGTGTATGATGGGTGCTCATGGAGGATAGGAGAGAAAGTTGGATCCCCTGGAATTGTAGTTACAGATGGTTATGAATGAGCTGCTATGTGGATGCTTGGAACTCAATACAGGTTCTCTGCAAAAGCAGCAAGCGCTCTTGACTGGCAAGCCATCTCTCCAGCTTTGGAACATGTTTTTAGTATTATTTGATAGTAAGACTTATTTTCTATGATCAGTATTATGAAAATAGCCTCCAGTAGTGAGTAATTTCAAGGATACAATAAGCCAAATCAAACTAAATTAATAGTCCAGATTTAATGAGCAAAGCATCCCGAGGTGATCTCAGGGGAAGAGAAGAAATCACATGGCAAGACTATGGGCTGCAACTTAAATACCATGTAGGGACAGTCTACAGGAGCTCCCGGGGAGTAGCTGTCAATTAGCAGGCTTTCTTGGGGTAGGGTTTGGAATGGGAGGAGCTGGAGATTGCCAACATTCTACACTTTAATATAAAGATCAGAGCATGCCATGAAATGTCAATGCAGCGGGCCCCAGGCAGATGTTCCCTTTCTGTTTTTTTTCCAGATGTTTTTTTTTCCTTGTTCACCATTTTTATCTTTTCAGTCAACACTCCTCTTCTTCCATCTCTATTTTGTGGGAGGTGATCTATACGAACTCTTACTGTCTCCATGACCTTCCTATTGCAATTTTCCTCTTGTGGTCAAAATGAAGTTTACTAATCTGGATTAATACCCAGGAATTCAACTCAAATTTTATTTTCCATTTATGGATTCTTTGACCACAAGAGGAAAACTCAGTTGAATGGTCAGAGAAACAGCAAGTTTCATCCTTAAAATAGTGCACTGCCTCACTCATTGTGGAAAAAAGTTCATCTACTAGTACACTTATTCTTATTTCTTGATTCCTTTTCTCAAGGTCTAGCTATACCACCACGTCTTAGAACAGTCAGATATCCTGCACATCATATAGTTACATTACAATTCACAACAGTAGCAAAATTACAGCTATGAAGTAGCAACAAAAGAATTTTACAGTTGGGGGGGGGCACCACAACATGAGGAACTGTGTTAAAGGATCACAGAATTAGGAAAGTTGAGAACTACTACTGTCTTAGAATCTTTCTGGCCATCATATCCATTTCTGATCATTGGTTTACAAAAGCTTTGTGGATCTTTTCTGTTCCCTTTAGGCTGAACCAATTCTTTTATTAGTTCACTGGCAGAATATTTTCTACATTTTTATAAAGAGCTTTGGCTCTGAAAGAAATATTTATTATACCTGTAATTTAACCTAAAGGGAAACTAGAAAAAAGTAAACTAGAATGAGAAAATAATTTTAAATTATTAAATTATTAAACAGATGAAATAGGGCTAGAAAAATTTCCTGAGATAAAATAATGACACTGCTCTTCAATCCTCACCATTAATGTGGTTTGTCACAATACCAAATTAAATCCATTAAAAATATCCTGTATTCTTTTAGGCAAATATTTTTCTTAAAGTTAAGTAAAAGGAAAGACTCTAATCAAGACAATAAATATGGAGTACTTCCTCTTTGTGATGCACCATAGAGAGTCCTGGAAATGAGCAAATCTCCGAGGATATTGTCTTTTTGGACTTCCTAGTAGTTACCTAGACAGAAATTCAGTGTCTGTGAAAGAACCACCCAAGATCTTACATTCTTGTGTTTTACCTACATGCAAACCCTGAGGTGCTCAGCACCATTAATAAACTTCATACATCAATGCAACAAATATTTATTGTGTGCTTATTACAGGTCTAGAGCACAGATGGATCAGTGGGAAGCACCCCTCCTGAAAATTCCTTCTTTGAGTATACTAGTGAGAAACAGGAGCAAGTAACCAAGTAAATTCTGTGTACTAAATACTATGGAAAAGAAAAAAAAGGGCAGGAATAGCATGAGAATTTTGGTTTGGTTATGTTAGTTTCAAACAAGGCTCTTAGAGGGGTCTGATTTGCAGGGTTCCCAAACCATGAGTTGGGCAAAGTAAATAAGCTAAGAGAATGCATATGAGAGAAGGTTACAAGCAAATGTTTGTCAAATGCCAAGGCCTTCGGTTGCAAGTGTGCCTGGCCTTCTCAGGATAAAGAACCCAAAGGCTGGTGTGGCTCGAACTCTCTGACTAGAGAGTGAGTATACAGAAAAGTTAAATTCTAGAGGTCGAGAGGCTTTTGGTTTTACACTAATGGAATGCCATTGAGGATTTGTCAAGCAGAGGAGTGATATTTTCTAATTTCCTCCTAGGTAGATTATAACCGAGGTTCAACATGGCCAGAGGCAGGAACACAAATAAGGAAGCTATCCAATGAAAGAGATGATTATGGTACAGGAAGCTCTCCAGTGGAAAGGGATATTTATGGTACAGGGTGTGGTGGGAATGATGCTTGATTTCTGCACGAGTTTGGTGTGGAGCCAGGAGGATTTGCTGGAGGATTAGAAATGTACCGGGAATGAGAAAAATAAGGATAAAGAGCTACTGGCTCTGGAAAGTTACCCATGTCTACACAAGTTAGGACTTGGGAACATCGAGCTGCCTGGTTGTCATCTCACATCATTTATAAGAATCCCCATGATCGTGCGCTTGGAAAAATACACTTGGGAAAAATACCTCCCGTGATTCTTCCATAGCCTACTTGACCTGCAATAACAAAGTCTACCAGCTGGCGCTCACTTGTGTTAGTTACCTGGGGGAAGCTATGCTTGGAGGACATAAACTCCAAGTATAGCACTGTGAGATGGGGTGGGCTATCAGAGGGAGCGACGAATCCACACTGATCCATACCTCCCTCCCAAGAAAACTCCCAGAAGCCTCAAAGTTTGGATTTGGATGAAGTGTTTCTCAAATCTTTAATAAGAAGGACCTGACGAAGATGAATGGAAACGACGATGAATTAGCTCTGAGAGGTAACAACTCGCTCACTCAAGACTTTCGAGTTATATAGCATCTCTCTAGGAAACCCGAGAAACTTGCAGCGACTCCTCAAAAGCCACACTTCTAGCACAGAGAGACGGGGCACTTTTCTGTCTGCACCAAATTTCGAGCTTCCGGAAGGACAAGATTCGATGACGGACCAAACCGGATGAAGGTCGCGCGCCCTTTTCCGCCGCCGGCGACTTCCCAGTGGGGCGGAGGCGCGCTGACCTCCTGCGCAGGCGCGGCAGGTCCAGCGCGCGCGGCGCAATGCCGGCGCGGCATGTTTCGCGAGTCCGAGGTTTATATAAGCGTATCTTGCAGCTCCACCGGGCTCTGCCCCCGGACCTCAAAGCTCTGGGCGACCAGTACGTGAAGGACGAATTTAGGAGGCATAAGGCTGTTGGTTCTGGCGAGGCCCAGCGTTTCTTGCAGGAATGGGAGGCAAGTGATGCCCCCTCCCCGCCCCCTCATCCCAGGCTTTTGGGGTTTCTCAGTGGTATTCGGTTCAGAGGCCGCCTTCCCAGCTGCTCCCCAGTGTCCATGCACGGCCAAACGGCGTTTGAATTAAATAGCTTAAAGCTGGTCAAGCAACGCTTCACCAAAGTGTCGTCGTGAGCCCTCTCAGCTTCTCCCACAGTCTCTCCGCTAAAGCACATAAAGTTTTCCCGGTGATCAGATCAACTTTGGGAGAGTCTGAAGTTGTTAGGTGTTGGAGAGATGAGGGTGGGGTGTCTCAGAACTTACTACGTCGCGCACTGTTAAGTACTCCAAGTTCGCCGGCTTTTGCCCTTTTGGTTGCCCTTGTACGTGACAGTCCGTGTAATTAACACTATGCCATTACTTAGCTTCCAGAGATACCCCCACCCCCCCGAAGATAGGGCTTCTCTGTGTTAACAACTCTAGCTGTCCTTGAACTCTCTTTGTAGATCAGCCTAGACTCGAACTCACAGAGATCTGCTTGCGTCTGCCTCTGGAGTTCTGCTTGCCTTTGCCTCTGGAGAGCTGGGATTAATAGCGTGCACTACCAAGCCTTGCTGGAAGTTATTTTCTTTAGTCTCTCAAGTCCTGGTAACTAAACATTGCGCTGTTGGATTATTCTTAAGGAGATGCACACATTTGGATTTAGTTGTTTGACTTTTCGCTTTTTTTTCTTATTTATTTTCTTTTTAATTACATATTTATTTGTGTGTATGGGGGAGGGACATGAGATCAGATGATAACCCAAGGGAGTCTGTTCTCTCCTTTCACCACATGGGTCCTGGGGATCAAAACTCAGGCTGTGTGGCTTGGCAGCAGGCGCCATCTACTGAGCCATCTCTGCGGCCCTAATAATCTTTTATTGGAGACAGGGTTTCTCTGTGTAGCTTTGGAGCCTGTCCTGGAACTTGCTCTGTAGACCAGGCTGGGCTCGAACTCACAAGAGATCCATCTGCTTCTGCGAGTGAGTGATGGGATTAAGAGCATGCACCACCACCTCCTAGCTTGGAATCTTTTTTAAGAATGAAGGGGGGAAAAGATGCGAGTATTGCAGTATTCCTTACCGCCTTGTAAATATCAGGAGGTGAAAGGAATTGGGGAACAGAGTGCTTCTAGGTATTTTAAAGACACGGCTATAGTAAAACAGGAGAAAGTTTTCATACTGATAGTGGCTGAAGAGATGAGTGATGTTTACCATTAAAACAACATAAAGATTATGCTAGGGTAACATTTTCATTGAATCCTATAATTCCTGATTGCAGAATCAAGAGAGAAATTTAGAACTTTCTTAAAAGTCTTGGTTTATTTGGGCTACCAAGTGAGTCCCAGGAAAGGTGCAAAGCTACAAAGAGAAACCCTGTCTCGAAAAACCAAAAAAAAAAAAAAAAAAAAAAGTCTTGGTTTATTAGATGTAATTTGGTTGCCTTGAGCTGGGGAGGTTTAATCTTTTTAAATGTAAAGCTCTTTCTTTAAATATATAATTGGTTTTCGAGTCAGAAAAACTAGATTTAAATTCAGACCTCAACATTTACTAAATGTCACATCTAGTTAATTTTTCTAGTCTTACAGTCTTATCTGTAAAATAGCAGTATTTAAAATAAACATTTCAAAGCTAGTTTATTTATTATTTTGGTTTGTTTCATTTGTTTGAGACAGGGTTTCTCTGTGTAGCCCTGATGTGCCTGGAACTTTTTCTGCTGACCAGGCTGGCCCTGAACTCAGAGATCCCCCTGCTTCTGCCTCCTGAGTGGTGGGATTAAAAGCACGCACCACCATGCCCTGCTAAAGCTAGTGTGTTTAAAAAGTACTTTGTATATTGTTAATAACATTGAAGGTATAATATGTTAAGGTATTTGTAGAGTCCCCTCTGTTGAGTTACTTTGACGCTGACAGGAAGACTGTGTTGAGAAGAAATGAGTCTACTTTGAGAAGTCCTAAAGTTTAAGAACTTGGAATGAAGGAAAGGGTAGAACTTAGAATAAGTTGGCAGAAAGCTGAAGGAAAGGATGCAAGATAACTGGGTAAATGTGTTGGTCCTCACAGGAGGCTTGATGACAGTAGTTTCACTGTTTTAAAAAAATATTTTAAAGTAATTTAGAGTTACAGAAGAGATGGAAAGACAGTGTAGAGTTCACAAAAAATCTACCACCTTGCTTCCCTTTGTGACAACATATAACTAGAACATTGATCAAAACGTAGAAACTAATATTGCTGGGTAACTCTTAACTACAGGGCTTATTCACACTGTACCACTCTTTTCAAGAATATCTCTACTCTGTTTCAGGACCAGGACTGGATTCCACTCTTAATTTAGGCATTTTTCCCCCTCTTTAATCTCCTGGAGCTTGTTGACAGCCGTCCATTCCTTATTTTGACATGTTTTTTGAAAAGAACTTTTCTGTTGCTTAGAGGATTCTATTTGGGTGTATTTGATCTTTACTCATGGTTAGGTTAATGTTGTGCATTCTTGAAAGATTATTATGAGGTAAACTGTCACACATTATGACAGTTTATTATTATGTATTATTCAACACATTATGTAAAGGGTATATGCCGTGGTTAATGTGATGGGAGTTTGATTAAGGTGATATGTGCCAGATGTTTTTACAGTTAAGTCAATGCTGTGGTTTAGGGAAAGTTTATCGATGAGAGATATTCATAATGTGCTGACAGTCTGATCCCCAATGTGGCATATTGAGAGTGAGTGGAAACTTTAAGAGGTGAGACTCCAGTTTGAGGCCATAAGCTCACACTGGAGGCCATAAGCTCACACTGGAGCATTGGGCATCACCGATGGGAGAAATTGAGGTAGTTTCAGGAATCTCGGAAATTCCTGTTGGAGCTGGTTATTATATATAAAAATAATAAAACCAAAGAAAACAGCAGCTTGAGCTCAGTGTGGTAATGAGTGCGTGTAATCCTATCTACCCCAGGGCCAAGGGCAAGAGGGTTGAAAGCTTAAGGCTAGCCCATGTAATTTAGCAAGACCTCATCTCAAAATAAGACCACAAGAGGCTGGGGTGTAGTTCAGTGATAGAGTACTTACCTAGTATGTGCCAATCCCTGAGTTCAGTTTCCAGTTACACGCACACACACACACACACACACACACACACACACACACACACACACACACACTCACACGCACACCCCTATACTTCATCCCTGAATCTTTCTTACTTCCTGCCTAGCCATGTGATGTATGATCCTCCCTCTTACATACACTCCCACCACGATGCAGTCAAAAGACTTCCACCAGTGCCAAATAGTTGCTAGTGCCATGGTCTTGGAATTCCAATCTGTGAGTTAAAGAAATGTCTTTATATACTACAAAATGTCAATATTTTTCCTTTTGAAATTAAAATATTTTGGGCCAAGAATCTGAGGCTACACAAGTGTCCTGTTTCTCCTTAAACTTTGCCTAGTTCAGCACTCATGACTATATGCTGTGGTTGTGTTCCAGTGCTAATTTTCTGTTCCCAATATTCTTCTGAATGCATTAGTTGAAAAGCTTTTGTAGGGAAGAAATGGCTCATCTTTTCCATTGGTCTAATAGTTTTACATATTTTTTGGATTAAAGAAAGTGTTCTGTGTTATGTGTGTGTGTGGGGGGTGAGGAGGCAGAAATCCTGTAGTTGATGAATCAGCAGAAGTTTAAACCTACCTAGTATTTTCACTATCAAGAGTTCACATAACCTTTTTAACTCATCTGAGGTATAATTTTTTATTTGTGACTTTTAAATGGATCATAAAGTAAAAATAAATGTCTAAGTTGCATGTTATATATATTTAAAATTTAATTTAGTATAATTAGAGTTGATGGAATTTTGCTATTTTTAATAATTTCATGCCTCACCTAATTTGAAGACCTGTTGGCAGAAGTTTCTGTCCTGTAAGCTGCTCCCAAATAACCACATAGTGGCTTATTATTAATTATAAATGCTTAGCCAATAGCTCAGGCTTGTTACTAGCTAACTCTTACAACTTAAATTAACCCACTTATATTTATCTATTCTTTCTTTTTTTTCTTCTGGTTTTTCGAGACAGGGTTTCTCTGTGTAGCTTTGCACCTTTCCTGGAACTCGCTTTGTAGACCAGGCTGGCCTCAAACTCACAGAGATCCACCTGGCTCTGCCTCCTGAGTGCTGGGATTAAAGGCGTGTGCCACCACCGCCCGGCGATATATTTATCTATTCTTTGGCACATGGCTTGGTACCCTGCTCAGTATAGCATGTCCGTCTTGCTTCTCTCTGCATCTGCTTGCAACTCCTCTGATGCTGCCCTTCTTCCCAGAATTCTCTCTTTGGTTTTCCCCCTAACCTTATCTTGTCAAGCTATTGGCCAGTCAGCTTCTTTATTAAACCAACCATAGTGACATATATTTACATAGTATTGTTTATTTTTTTTTTTTTTTACTCTTTGGCTCTTTGGGGGGGTCTGCCACCCAGCTCCCACATAAATCAAACACAGAGGCTTATTCTTAATTATAAATGCCTAACCTTAGCTTGGTTTGTTTCTTGCCAGCTTTTCTTAATTTTATATTAACCCATCTGTCTTTTGCCTTTGGGCTTTTGTCTATTTTTGTATACCTTTCTTTGTGTCTTACTCTGTTGCTGGTTGTGTAGCTGGGTGGCTGGACCCTGATGTCCTTCTCCTTCCTCTCTCACTCCTTGATCTTTTCTCCTCCCAGATTTCTCCTTCAATATATTCTTTCTGCCGGCCAGCCCCACCTATCCTTTTTCCTGCCTTGCTATTGGCCATTCAGTGCTTTATTAGACCATCAGGTGTTTTAGACAGGCATAATTAACACACCTTCACAGAGTTAAACAAATGCAACATAAATAAAAGTAACACCTTAAAATAATATTCCCCAAGACAGTATAAAGGAATATTCCACAATTCCTCCTTTTTGTCTAATTAAAAGGAAGGTTTTAACTTGAACATAGTAAAATTATATACAACAA